CCGCTAGAAATTTCCTGAAAGCCGACAATAAGTTGTGTGTTTCCCCACTCCTAAGACATAAATGTGAAGGTAGACTTTGCCGTAGAATTATACGATGCACTTGTATCTGTATGTATCTCTCAGATCAGCCGGGATTTCCGGAGGGTTAATGTAAAATGTATTCGTTGGCCTCTAAGTTAACTGCTACCAGAGGTAGAGATCCTAAAAGTAATCAGATAACTGAACGGCGAAGCTCGGTCAACAAGGTGTAAAAGTTGAAGGTGTATATAACATAGACTGAGAACATTCCCTCATGGCTATTACATTCAGTGGTACTGTCACACAGAAAAAAAGGCCACAAAAGTTAGTCAATAAACTCTATATATCTAAAAATGCGTTCTTTAGTCAAGATACTTAAAAATTTGGCGTGGGTTTGTCTTGTTCGGAAAGTATAAAAGATTCTGAGACAACAGACTCTCGGCGGTTATAAGGCTGGAAGTGAACAAGCTGAAACAAAAACAGTAGATGCGAGTCACTTGCGACCTCGACTACCGAGATGGTGCTGCATTCTGGAACAAACTCAAAGTCTTAACGAAACAAAAAAGTCATCCACGATCTCATCTCATAGTTAATAACGTCATCCTAAACAATCCACAAGATAAGGCCGAAGCTTCACATTACAGGCCACCTTCATTTCCCCTAATAGCCCTAATTTCTGCGAAAGATATATTCTACTATCCTCAGGCACATGATGGACCACATCCTCACCTAAGGCGATGATGGCACATGTGACTGAGGACACCGTCAGGCAGATGTGTAACTTAGGTAAAAACACATCTCCTGGCCCAGATGGTATCCACAGAAGATGCCTCACAAATCTTCCACAGAATATTATCCCGTTGCTTAAAAATATAATCAATGCATCTCTAGCGCTGAGCTACTTTCCTATTCCTTGGAAGGTGGCCAGCACCGTCATGATCCCGAAAAAAGGGAAAACCCTCACCAACCCTGAATCGTATAGACCCATTCCACTACTGAGCACCCTAGATAAAGTTTACGGAAGGATCCTCAAGGAGAGACTCGTAGAATTCCTAGACGCTCACTTCTTAATTTCAAATTACCAATTCGGATTCAGGGCTGGACACTCCACACAAAATGCATTGGTTGAAGCAACAACTTTCATCTCACAATCAATTAACGTAGGGAAACACGTCATGGGCATATTTCTGGACGTCCAGAAGGCATTCGATCAGGTCTGGCACACAGGCCTGATTGAAAAACTCCACCTCGCTGGACTGCCAACACCTTTCGTTAAACTAATTAATTCCTATCTCTCCCACCGGATGGTCAGGATCAAAGTAGTTGACCACTTATCCACCTCCTTCACTCCACAAACTGAAGTGCCCCAAAGCTCAATACTTGCACCAATACTTTACACAGTCTACAATAGTGACATTCCCCGCCCACAAAAAGGATCAGAGTCTCTCCTCCACTTCGCTGATGATACGGCCATTCGCACTTCAGGCTCCCACAGAGAGGGTGAACGACGGTCTGTATTCGAGAGATCGCAAGTCTATCTTGACAGAGTCGTGAAGTGGTGCAACAAATGGAGGGTTACCATAAACCCCTCCAAAACTCACTTAATACTATTCAAATTTCCTTACTGTCGTGACGTCCAGGGCCGGATATCACTTTTGGGAGAAAACCTCATTCTCAGCAACTCGGTTCTCTACTTGGGAGTTCTTTTTACGAGAACTCTCAATTGGAAGGCTGACGTCCAGGAATCCCTTGACAGGGTGAGACAGAGGTTTAATCTCCTAAAAGTGCTAACGGATAAAATTGGCGGAACGTCCTCCAAAACATTGTTGCACACCTACAAGACTTTTGTCAGGCCGATAATCGAATACAAGGCATGCGTTTACCTTACTCTCAAGAGTCACCAACTGAATCCCATAGCAGTTACAGAACGTAGAATGCTAAGATACTGTATGAGAAAAGATTGGTCGTATTCATCAGCGCACATACACATATTGGCCAACATCACGCCAATCAAGAACAGAATCCTAACCGTCAGCAGGAAGTATGTCCTAAGAACCATAGCTGGCTCGAACAACCGAGCAAATTGAACATTAAAGACGTCTTGCACACATAGAGGGCAAATACTCACCAGGTATCCCACTAAGAAAGTTCCATTTCCTCCAGCAAAACTTCTACTAACTTCCTGTTGAGTATTTTGAAATTCTTGAAACATTCCCCATCTATTATCTCAAGACTGCGCGCCAAAAACGCTTATAAAGAGCTGTTCCTACTGTATGGCTGGTAACCCCTGAAGTACCTCAACTTACATGCTAGACAGATCCCACTTCTTCTTGTGCGTTCTTATCGATCACGCACATAAGTCACCTTCTTTTCCCCCTGCTCCTTAGTAGTCCACTACTTCTTAGCTCGTGCATCATTTAATTGACGTTTCTCACACTACCCACAACTCCGTTAAAAAAAAGGAGTCACTCATTCCTTGAAGAGGCTCAGGCCTAAACAAGGTTAAAACTCATATGTAATATCATTTCATGTGGGTTTGTTTTATCTGGTGATTAAAATTCTCTACTTTTCAAGCCACATGTGTTTGTACTAAAATATAACATTGTAACAAAGACACTGTAGCAGATAAATATCATTGTAGCAAAGAATATAGACTCATATACGTCTATATTCTTTGATTGTAGCATCACCAAAATTTTTCGCTATTATTAAAAAAATCGCTATTATTAAAAATCGCGAATTGAACAAGCAAGAAATGTCTTTTTAAAAATGAAACAAATGTTTACGTCCCAAACACTCAATCTCAAAATCCGATACCGAATGCTGAAATGTTACGTTTATAGCACCTTACTATATGGAATGAAGGCCTGGACCTTTAAAATCAATTCACTAAGGCGTTTGGAAAGTTTTGAAATGTGGTTATTTCGAAGGATGCTGAAAGTCCCCTGGACAGCGCATATGAACAACGAGCAGGTCCTACACAAGATGGGTACCGACAGAGAACTCTTAAAAATAATGAAAACACGGAAAACCTCATATTTGGGACACATATACAGAAATGAGAAATACCAGCTACTGCAGCTTCTTATAGAGGGAAGGTAGAAGGAAGACGTGGTCCTGGTAGACGGCAGGCGTCCTGGTTGAAGAACATTCGTGAGTGGACTGGTTTGGATTCTCAATCTTTAATAAGAAAAGCCAGGGACAGAAATGATTTTGCTGAGGTTATCGCCAACCTTCATTGAAGACGGCACCCAAAGAAGAAGATTAAAAAAATATCATAACGTTGACAGACAATTTTTGTTTTAAAAGAGGTATTGTTGTTTTTTAATAAATACAAAATTTAAGATTAAAAAAATAGTTTCTAATTAAAATTATTTTAATAATTTTTAAATCGTGTAATTCCATCACTGTCATCGATGCAAGCCTGGATTCGAGATCTAACATCTCTAAGAAGTCGATCACTCATTCCCTGTGGCAGATTCTCTCAATCTTTAGAAAATTGTAAGTTCAAACTGCCGAGTATTAGTTGTTTTTTAGCGATTTCAAATTTTAGTTCCATATTTCGAGACTTGACGTTAAAACTATAGCGTGGCAACACTGTGTTCAAGGTTAATGTGATCAATATTATTCCATTTACGTTAAATGCGGAACAGGCATACAGCACAATATTTTTATTTTTAATAATTCAAATTAATTCTATAGGAAAATACTAATATCACTAAAATTTTTATAAATTTAAGTAACGATACTCAAGTTAATAAAACATAGACTTTATAGAATGTAATATATATTTTTTTTTAAGTTCGTCTTATAAACCGCCGACACGTTTTTCAATATTTTACATTTATATACAGCGAGTTGAGCAACATATTCCGGGAAGGTACTGGGTTCTCAGGATACAGCCAATTTCTGTGCACCAAATCTGTCAAACAAACATTGATGTTGATAAACTCTGTCATACCACCTGCAGGGCCCAATGTGATCTTCCTTTTTGTTGTTGTTTTTTTTATTAATAATAATTAGGTACTTCTCAATGGAAACTGGATGAGTGTTAGTTGTTTTTTAAAAATTTTAGATTTTAGTATAATATATATATATATATATATATATATATATATATATATATATATATATATATATATATATATATATATTCTATGATCTTTAAGGATCACTCAGACGAGTGGTGGGTTCTTATATCGGTCTCTAGGTGAAGAAATAAAAGACAAAGTTGATAGGCTACTTTATCTATTTTGAAGACATTTCGCTTTCGAGTTTTGAAAGCATCATCAGTTCATCTAAAAAGTACAATATGAGAACCACACAATCATGGAAACGATGTTAATTGTTACCTTAAAAAGACATGTAGCAGTCAAAGTTATTAACAATAATGTGAATGAAACTTAAGTAAATGGACATAATACGCTGATCTTGTATAAACAAATAAGTAACTAACAACATATATGAACTTATAAAAATTAGCACAGCAAAGCTTACTTACTTACTTACTTGCCGAGAGGCAAATTCGCAATGTCCTAGTCCTAAGTCCTAAGTCCTATAACGCGGGGAGGAGAGAGATTATGAGGGAGAGGATCGCAAACCCATTAACACGAGAGCTGACGATCTAAGCGCACAAGTTGATAAAATAACTATATTACGATTACAATATTATAAATAGATTGTTTTTACAACATATTGACAGAACAGCAAGATAAACTAAAAAGATGGAATTCCTGAATGCGACCAAAAATGTTTAAGATGTAATACTCCATCTAGCGTTTTTTATAAAAATATTGCTTTTAATTATGTGTTCTTAGTATGCCATACGCTAAATAAAAAAAAATTCTCCATTACTTATAGGCTTCTTGGTAAAACTCAAAATAACAGCTAAATTATACAATAACTTAAAAAGAGATCATGCGCATGATTAATTTCATTATTATGGATAGTATATCAATAATACTATGTCTAATACAACTTACCTGTAGTATTCTATTGTCAGATATCCATCTTTTCCATGGTATTTGTCATTCCTTAGTTCTGAAATTCTCATGTCTTCGGATTTCTTGAAATAGGGTAAAACATCGTCATAACCCCAACCTGGATTGCCTAGATCTCTATACCTGTCATAATCTTTTCTATTTCCTCGGACATACATCATCGCATTTAATACAGAACTTCCACCCAGAACTCTACCTCTCGGCCAATTACATTTCTCGTCGGTAAATCCCAAGCAATATTTGGTTCCTGGTTCTGTCCGATATTGCCAGTCGATCGGTGATAGCTGCAGAACCGGGAACATTAGGGGCATATCTGTAATGCTTACCTCGTCAGGACCAGCTTCAAGAAGGAGAATGTTCCAGTTAGTGTTTTCACTTAATCTAAAAATGGGTTTAATGTAACAGATTTCAAGCTATATAATAAGATGGTTTATGTAGAGCGACAACAAATCTATTGATAGATTCTGAAAAGATGTGTAAAACTTCCAAATTTTAAGAGAATAAGTTAAAAATATGACACAGTATTAAGAAAACAGCAAGGAATAGAAAACGCGTAGTACCTCTATAGTCGGACAATTTTTAATTAAAGGTGACTAATCTACAAATTGAACTAAACGGTAGCGGCAACCATGAAAAATTTTATTAGTAAATTCTTACCGGGGTCATTTTTATTGTGTATGCTTCGCCCATGTAAATTTGTAACCCATGTAAGATAAATTTGCCCCCGTAACAATATAAATTGGTGCGATTCACGAGTGTATAGTGAGACAAGTTCATAGAATAGTTTGGAACATCGGTAAAATTATCAATATTTTGCTGGCCTATATATATTTACGCTTTTAGAAGGAATGTTAATTAGAGAAATATGATATCTTAGTTTATTGAAGTTTATGAAATATGATATCTTCCAGATTTTATACATATGTGCATAGGCGTAGTGTATGATTGAGAATATATTTATTAAATATACTTTATTATCAACTATAAAAATAGTTTTAAGGTAAGTAAAGTAAATTTGAGGCCAGTTTATTCTTTATATAGTATTAAACCCTTAACGGCCGCTCAATATACAAAGAGAAATTTGACAATTAATTTATTAGATTGGAATAAAAACACAAATTAGGAATAAATTACAACCAAAAAGATTTTTTTTCTCATTTTTAAGGAAAACAGTATAATTTTTAATAAAGGAACATATTGTATCTTAAACGTAAATTAAATTTTAAGGTAAAAATTTTCGAAATATTCGGGGTGTAGATGCATTCTACACTTTTTACATAAATAAATAGTATTACTTTTGTACATCCTACATTTTTGCACTATCGGCTCTTTTTATAATGTGGCCAATATTGCCGAATCTGGTTTCATCTGGTAAAGCAAATTTAGATTGACGCCCATGTACTGACACTGATGTAACGGTTTCTTCACTATTATAAATTAAAATTATAAATCTATGTCGGCTCATGCTTTCTCTTATAATATGCACTTCTTTATCCTCATCCTTTGACCAATGCATATCAACTTGAAGCAGAGTGTAAACCAGATAATATACATATGCTAATAATTTTTTTAAATCTATGTTATTCATTTCAAAATTGTGACGGTTATTCTCAATTACTTTTTTATCAAAAAGAGTGAAAAAACTTCAATATATGACTTGCCTACATGGTTGGCTTTTATATTGTTTAAATATCAATCAGACTGATGTTGAATTACTACTGAGCACGAAAGAATATCCGTTATCACAACTTGAGATAAATTTGGATTTACTATTTTTGCCTGGTTTTTTCTTTGGACGTTTTATCTGTGGTTCAGAGGAATATCATAATCAAAATCGTTAGAATTCCCAATCACTTGTATTTCATATGTACCTGCAATATCCGATTTTATTGATTCTTCACAAATAATATTATTATCAATCTCTTCAAGAAATACAATAATATACCAGCAAACGAATGGGAAAGATACCTGACGGAACTGTTTAAAGCAAAGGAAAATAATAATCAACACAATAACGTACCTGAACTAAGAGACGAAATAGAAATCAGTTTTCACGAAGTAGAAATAGTCATAAATTCACTTAAAAATAGAAAGTCACCAGGACCAGACGGAATAACCAATGAGCTTCTAAAATACGGATGGGAAAGTTTAACCCTAGAGATGACAAAACTTATTCAAAAACTAATATTGCACTGCAAGATATCAGACGCATGGAGAAACAGCATAATGATACAAATGGTCAAGAAAGGAGATAAAGAAGACCCCAACAATTATAGAGGTATAAATCTACTGAACACCGCACTTAAGCTTACCACAAAAGTCCTAACCAACAAAATCAATAAACTAACAACTTTATCAGATGAACAACAAGGATTCAGATCCGGATGATCAGACGCCGTATTTGTACTAAGACAAGTCACAGAAAGGCCATCATATATATGTTTTATAGACCTGACACAGGCTTTCGATCGCATCCAAGTCGAAGACGTCGTAAACCTACTGTATAAAAGGAACATACCAATCAATATTATACAAATCATCGAAATCATCTACCTCCATAATCGAATACAGGCAAAGATAAATGGAAAACTAACACAGTGTATACCAATACACAGCGGAGTCAGACAGGGTGACTCGTTGAGCCCACTTATCTTTAATATATTAATGGGCGAAATAATACAAGCAGTACGTAAAAGTCATGGCTATAGAATTGGGAACAAAGAAATCTAAATATTATGTTATGCAGACGACGCCGCATTAATCGCCGAGACAGAAGACGAGCACTAAAGATTAACACATATCTTCAATACAACAGCTAAGAAATACAATATAATAATATCGAACTTCTTTTCATCAAATTTCTTCAAGTATATCTAAGTATTCGGTATTCCGTAGGATATCCAGTTCTGAACATAAGGGAGTGAATATACATGAATAGATACTTATAAATGAAAAAGGAAAAGACAGTGTCTTTTCCTTTTTATTCCGATTACTCTGAACGAGTACTAGAAACCAATTGGCTAAGGATTTTCGTTTAGTGAAGGAGATATGACGTGGAATGCAAATTTTAGATTCTCCATGTCTCTTATAACGTTTCGAAAATTAGTTTACGGATTTTAATATTAGATGTCGCTATTTGCCTCCATTCGAAGCCATGTTAGAGTTGCTTCCTAAGACAGAAGAGATTTATTTTCACGTTCAGAGCGACTATGAATTGCCGTTCTGACGAGGTCTATTAGGCCGAAATACGTATAAGCAGCTACATAGACGCACTGTACGTGAAATTAAATCTTAACTGTCTTTTCCTTTTTATTCCGATCACTCTGAACGAGTACTAGAAACCAATTCGCTAAGGATTTTTGCTTAGTTGAGGAGATATGACGTGGAATGCAAATTTTTGATTCCACATGTCTCTTATAACAGCTTTATCAACGTCTGTTTTGCCTTGCAATTCATAGAAGGTACAGATTAAAGCAAAAACCTGAATTTGGATTCGAAAATTAGTTTACGGATTTTAGATATAAATGTGTTTCCTACTATTAAAGCAATATTTAATAAACAATGTTTAGTATAACCGGTTATCAAGAATGAAGAAAACACTTTAAGAAAAAAAGTAAATGGATGGACTTACCTGTTCGCTAAAACTGTCCCAGCACTTCCCCCACCAATTATCACAAAATCGTAAGTTTCGTTTATTTGAAACAAAGGAACATCTCTGACTCTATGCTCTGTGTCCAAAATGTCCGGTCTTAAATTTATTGTAAGACTATGAAGATACAGAATAAATCCTAACCCAGGACCAAGGGTGAGAGCCATTCTAGTCATAGAAAATAGATTCATTTGGGCAATCGACGACATTTTTGTTTTTTTTTATTATTACTAGGTATTCGCCAAAGAACTTTTTTGTCTTATCGTAATAACCGACTTATAGTATAAGACTTTCTTTGTGATTACTGCGGATTTTAAAATGGTTATCGCATTTCTTTTCTTTATTTTTTGTTTATTGGTTTCTAACAGATAATAACTTGCATACTCAATAAAATACGATAACTAAAAAATGTTATCTTTAAATTATTTTAGAAATAATTTTAAATTGTAGATCACAGAGCAAATTATATAGTCCTGGCGGGATCTGTCGAAACAAGACCATAATGGACATTTTCCATAGGAGTCTATTTTTTTGCTGGAATCACTTCAGGATATACTTTCACCAAGTGGGGAGGAAGAGCCTGGAAAATTACGTCCACTGATCCTTTCCCACCGTAACAAAGGGACTCTATTCGAAGTGCCCTCTGCGTATGTTCCATCTTTGGTGGGCTATTGATAATTCTCACATCACATGAAAGATGGAATGAAACACATTTTTAAAAGGAGAAAAATGTCCAGCCAAGAGTCTCGGTTTATAAAACGAGAGCAGAGCCCAGACAACGGACTCCCAGAATACAGGAGACCCTATATGGGAGCCGGATACATTCGATCCAATGTTTTTACCTTTTAGGCTGTTGCTTCTTCAAGGAAGGGGTACTCCTTTTTTTCGGAGTAAGGGGGTATGGTAAACGTGATGGCGAATGCTTGTGGAAATGTAGGTGGATTGCTAAAAAGCTGGGTGGTCAGAAAGTGGTGTATGTCACATGGGAGGTATGATGTAGCGCACAAGAAGAATGTTGGCGAAGAAGGCCAAACAAGTCAAAGGAGGTACTTCAGGGGTTACCAGCTATACTGGGAACAGCTCTTAATCAGCGTTTTTGGTGTGCAGTTATTAGCTGCGATATTTGATGAGGAATGATTCTGTAATATCAAAATATTCATCAGGAAGTTCGTGTCCAGTGTGGTGTAGAAGTTTAGCTGGAGGGAATGGAACTTTTCTTTTAGGAACTCTGGTGAGTATTTGACCTCGGCGATTGCATGGCGTCTTTAATATTTGTTTGACTCGGTTGTTTGAGCCTGTAATGTTTCGAAGGACATACCTCCTGCTGAAGGATAGAATTATGTCCTTAATCGGTGTTAGATTAGCTACCTGATGGATGGTATCTGCACTTCCTCATGCAGAATTCAAGGATTTTACTTTCGGTGGACATAATGGTGTTTATTTGGCTGCTGTTAAGTGACGGGTAGACGCATGCCTTGTATTCGATTAGCGGTCTTATAAAAGTTTTGTAGGTGTGCAATAATACTTTAGGTGACGTCCTGCCCATTTTACAGGACAGCGCTGCTAGGAGTTTAAACTTCTTTCTCACCCTGTCTAGGGTGTCTTGAATGTCGGTTTTTCAGTTGAGAGTCCTGCTAAAATGAACTCCCAAATAGGAAACCGAGTTTCTGAGAATAAGGTCCTCAGACCTTACCTACCTAACCTAACCTAACAAGGTTATCCGGCCATCAACATCATGACAATTGGAGAATTTGAATAAAATAAGTTGTGTTTTGAAGGCCTCTGTGGACCCTCTCCATTTATTGCACCACCTAATAACTCAATCTAGATAGTTTTGTGCTCTTTCCTAATACAGACAATTGTCCGCGCTCGGTATGTGGCCCTGACGTGAGGAGTGCAGTGTATTCCGCATACAGAAGAAGGGTTTCCGATCTATACTGCGAGCGGGGTATGCCACTATTGTAGACTGTATAATATTGGAGCAAGAATTAAGCCCTGGGGTACTCCAGCTTGTGGAGTAAAGGATGTGGATAAGATATCGCCAACTTTGATCCTGATCGTTCAATTGGAGAGATAGGAATTTATTAGCTTGATGAAAGGTGTGGGCAATTCAGCAAGATGGAGTATTTCGATCAGGCCTGTGTGCCAGTACAGGTCGAATGCCTTTTGGACGTCTACGAATATGCCTATGACGTGTTTCCTTTCGTTAATTAATTGTGAAATGAAAGTTGTTCCTTCAACCAATGCATTTTGCGTGGAAAGGTGAGCGTCTAGAAATTCTACGAGTCTTTCCTTAAGGGTACTCTTGTAGACTTTACCTAGGTGCTCAGTAGAGAAATGGGTCTATACGATTCAGGGTTGGTTAGGGGTTTACCTTGTTTGGGAATCATAACTGTGCTGGCCACTTTCCATGGAATTGGAAAATAGCTCAGCGTAAGACATGCATTGATTATATTGGTGAGCAACGGGCTTATAATTTCTGGAAGATTTTTAAGGCTTCTTCTATGAATGCCATCTGGGCCAGGAGATAAGTTTTTACCAAGGTTACACATCTGCCTGACGATGCCCTCAGTCACAGGAACCATCATCGGGTGAGGATGAGGTCTCAAATGTGCGTGAGGGTAATAGATATCTCTCTATATCTTCCACTCTCCGTTCGGCTTCCCTTTTGGATCTTTTATTGAAATTGGGATTATACTTTCCGATCATTTTACGCTTTGTTTTGATTTGTGCCATGATTTTGGGTGGGAGAGCTGGAGTATATGGATTATATCGTGTTATTGAAATAGCAAGGGATGAGGCTTCTTGAAGAAGCTTCTCAATTTTGGAAATCCCGGTGTCAACTTGGTTATCTATTGACATATTGCCTAACTCTGGGAAGTTTTGGTTGATATGTTCTTGGAAAAGTTCCCAATTTACTTTACGATAATGTTGTCTGTAGATATCAGATCTTATTGCTAAAGCAAACCATATCACCGTAAATTTTTAACTTTTTTCTGTAACTTACAACGGCACTTAACGCGCTCATAACTGACATTCAAAATCGCCGACCGTTTCAAGGGTTGTTTCTGAGAGAACGATTCATTCGACACAAAAAGTGCTAATAAACATTTTTTGTTTGAAACATTTTTTTACTGCGTACAGTTTCTTGGTAAAATATTTTTTTTTTCCGTTTCTCTCCTACGACAGGAAGTTTTAGGAGTAAGCCGGGAGATAGGATTGGTAAACTGTTTTGCATATTTTTTGGGATCTTAAAATTAGCAAAACTTGACTCGTTTTTTTTATGATTTTTAGAGGTTCCGTGTAGAATTTTCATCAAAGTCAGCACAATAAGGTCCCATCAAACAATTAATTAAAGTGGTTTTAAGGAATTCAATTGAAACCAAATATCTGCTTCATCTGGAGTTACTTCTGCAAGTCTCGGTAAAATCTCTTCTTGTAGCAGGTCCAAAAACTTTTCTGAATTTAATTTTTTCTCATAGAAAGATGGTCAAAAATATTGTGTCTAAATATTCCTAGCCAGACATTTATTTTTCGACGATATTGAGTATTGTTCTCAATAATATCTTCAGACTTTCTTGTCGATTTTAGAATTTTGATTCTAGAGAGAGATTCTAGAATTTTGAACATTTGGTTCATTATTTAATGTATACAGATTGAACGAATTTAAAACGGATCATTCAATTTAATATATGTCTGTTTGAACTGCATTTGAAATAGTGGACCAATATAAAACTTGGACAAACATAAATCCATACCCGGTGATAGACATTGTATAAAATATCGTTCAACTATCTGTCTCCTTTTAGGGCGCACCATAGTCGTAGTGCCGCCCAAAGTCAATGTTGCCAATCGCCGTGTAATAATCCGATTTGCGGATCTTTTTGAGAGTTATATCTTCTTCGTATCTTTAAATAAATCGGATATTTGCCTATATTTTTCATTGTATTTACCAATCTACTACAACAGACTAATAACAAAAATAAACCTAATGGTTTAGTAGTAATTTCCTTTCTTTCCTGTAAATATTTTATGGTTAACACCTTATTTGGGAAACATCTATAGAAATCAGATTGGCAACACCGCTCAAAAGATCCATCTGACTGCTTAGATAAACGAAAGAGGAGCTTGCCTAAAGCCGGCCACTCACGATACAGCGGCGTTGTTCAACTTCGTCGAGTTCGACGAATTAACAAGGATTTTGATCGTGTGTGACTGTGCATCAAATGAAATCGTACAATTTGACCGCAGACAGACTGGCCTGTCTGCTGCAGTACTGCAGAGTTGATCTCATCATTTTGTTGAGCGTGTGTGACCGTTTACAATTTTTCGATATTGCAAAAATACATTTTTAACTACACACTTGCTTTGAGAGTTTTTTGAATTATATAAAAAAACAAGAATGCTTATAGCGAATGAAAGGTAAAACGTATCACGATAGAAACGCCCGAAAACAGGCAATGAACATTCTAGTTTTAAAGTTCCAAGAAGTAAACAAAGATGCGAATGAAGAGTATGTAAGAAATAAAATTAACAATTTTAGAACATCCTATAAAAGAGAATTAAAATTAGCATTGCAGTCCAGTAAATCGGGTGTAGGGGCAGACGAGATTTATTTTGCACCAAAATCTTGGATTCTTTGCACCAGAATCTACGTTTTATTTTAGGTTTCTTGTTACGCTTAATTATACACAAAGTAAGAGACGCTAAAACGATCGTTTGATTTGACATGGTCGAGAACCGAACAAATACTGCGGCGCAGTATGGTTGCCAACAAATTGAACAACGCCGCTGTCCGATTATGTCCAACGACACCGCTGTACCGTGAGTGGCCGGCTTTAGGAAGCGATAGGTGGTTTGACCATGTGGTTTGACAGCATAATAAAATCCTAGATTTATGTGTAGTTTCAATTTTTATACATGATGGGCAGGGCAACCTATTTGGGTTTGAGTTTTGACTTGTTCTTGAATGAGTTCAGAATCCAGCAGCCCCCTGAAGTATTGGATTTTTATAATTATTTGACAACCTTTTGTTGGCCAACCACCTAAAGCGGAGTTGAGACGAAACACATATATTTCGTATGTTCCGAATTTAACTCCTTCAATCTGTATGTACATTCAGCACTAAATGAAATGATTTTAAAAGATTGTTTGCCTGCATTAGCCCTGTTTAAAATATCAGAACAAAATTCCGCTCATTTCTCAGCAACTTCTCTTAGTTCTTGATGACACTAAAATTTATACAAACGGAATTTATTTCTTTTCAAAATGTTTAAAGCTGTGGAATTATGAATATCAAACTGGCCTGAATTGGTTCGAGACATGATATCTGTTTATGGAAGGAAAAAATGAAAATTAAATTTTATAACTTTCTTATAACTCTAATCTTAAAGAAAAAACTACAATATTTAATTTCAAAACTATTTTTATTTGTTCAATAAAACTAAAAATAAATAAATTCTTTGGAATAAATTAATATAAATAAATATGTACATAAATACATATACACCAGTGAGGTAACTGACTATACCACCCAGTAGTAAATAGCCTAAGCCCCATATAAATTCCTTCCGTATTTCGCCATCTTCATCCAAAATTCTTTAATTAGATCAGATCCTTTCTCTCCGATCATAATAACTGGAGCATTTGTGTTACCGCTAACCATGGTCGGCATAATAGAAGCGTCGATAACTCTAAGACCTTTAACACCATATACTCTAAGTTGGGGATCCACTACTGCTTCTTGATCCCAGTAAGGACCCATTTTGCAAGTTCCTATAAACAAAAACAAAATAAAAACTAGATAATTCAAAGAAAACTTGAATGGGATACATTTCTAGAAATTTCACAAGATAGACGAAATGAACCAAAAAACTATCAAAGAGATATTGAAGGGATTCGAAGATGATAGCAATACCATAATATAAAAGTTCACTATTTTAAAATAATCTTTTTTGAAAACGATTTCCGGAGTGGAAATTGAAACGTCAAATATAAGTTAAGAATGTTGTTGTATTTTCATTACATAATATTTAAGGTAAATTATGCTTTTTTTATTTGCAGAGATATATCGATACCTTAATTCTATAACTAGGTAACTCCATGTTAAATTATTTTACAGAATCAACAAAAATGATGCGCTAACCTTTTTGGGAATACTAAAACTCACACAACAGTTAAATAAAAATGTCAAATATTGTAATCATACATTTTATTATCAAATTAATAGTAATATTGACAATTATTACAAATAGTAGTTACATTTTGTTAAAAAATAAAATTAGATTATGTAACATATCTACTTTTGGTTTTAAAGAGATATCTACTTTTTGGTTCTATATAAGAGATATCTATAATTGACACGGTTAAGTTATTCACTTATAGAACTAATAAGTCGATAAGAAAAATTAAATAAAAATAAACAAAGTAACATGAAAACCCTAATTAAAACGAGTAAACACATAAAAATTTGATTTTGACAAAAACTAAAAAACTACATACCTATATCTATTCATCATCGTTACCACTTGCATAATCTTCATCTATACAATTTCCATGTGAAAACTTCATAAAAAAATTTATAGTCTACGCTAATTGCTGGTGGGTTTGATGTAAATAATGACATTAAGTCATTGTAGTTTGCATTGGAAATTGTTTTTCTCGAAGGGTATAACTTTTCTACATTTGATTGAATATTATACTTAGTTCGTTTGTTGCAGTCTAATACTTTAAAATTTTCGTTAAATTTTTCTTTACATAAAATTACATTGTGCCTATCTTTTTTAAATCGTAGCCAAGTAATTTTTTGCCAGTTAATATTATTTTCATTATTTTTTTGCTTAATTAAAAGGGATTTTTGAGTTCTTTTCTCGTTTGACGATTTGTCAACCTCAAATCTCTTTCACATTATTACTGTTTCTTTAGTAAACTGTTTCCAGTTGAAGAAACTATTATGGTTCATGTTATGAAAAACATACGGTTTATCAACTGTTCGTCTAGCATTTCTTGCTATAGTTTTGTAGTCTTCTAGCCATGAAATTTTTTCCACTCTTTTAATTTCGTGACTTATTGCAGCGTGAATGGAATCACATTCCATTTCTGACTGTCCTACCCCTGGGTATTTTATATCAATGATCTTAATGTGTTCATGTGGAACGTGCAATGCTGAACGTGAGCCTTCGAGACCACATAACAAACCAACAAATCAGGCGAAGATCAGGAGTTCAAGACGTCATCGAAAGAACCACGACGCTTAAGTGGAACTGGGCAGGGTACTTAGCCAGAACACAAGATGGACGGTGGACAAGACGTGTTATGGAATGGAGGCCCAGAAATTATAAAAGAAGCCGAGGACGACCACCGACTAGATGGACCGATGACATTAAACGTGTAGCGGGAAACTGGCTACAAGCGGCCCAGTGTAGAGAACACTGGAAAGAACTGAGGGAGGCCTATGTCCAGCAGTGGACGCGATTGGCTGATTGATGAATGTGTTCAATATCTTGAACTGATTTTAAACAGATTTTGACCTCCACACCGGTCGCCATAGAGAATTACCTCTTCGATGTGTTCTGGAAACAGGGTAAAATATTTGTATAAAGAACTGGCTACTTCCCAACTTCCCCTGGCACCTTCAGCTTGATGCCACAAGAAACGGTCACCCTGTTTGGACACCACATTGTAGATGGTAAATTTGTATGTGGTCAGTTTGCGTTTATAAAACAAAGTATTGTTTTTTTATCGCTAGGGGCCAGCAATACCTGTTGTAAATAAAAATTACAATTTATAATATTTTTCGACGTTGTCTTTGTCTTTTTTTTTCTCAACCCTATCACTATTTTTTGCTTCAATGTGCACATCATATTTTTCTTTTAATTTTACGTTGTCTACATCCGATGCATTTGTAAAGTGCATACATATGGAGCACTGGTCTTTTTTAGGTGTGTGAAATCCTAAATTATAGTTTTCACTGAATATTTTTCGATACATGCATTCCTTAGCAGGAGTTTTTCTTTGTACCCTGCATTGTTCTGTGTATATTTTATACATTTTAGTGATGTTCAGTTGTGATGTTAAATATTTTCTAGTTGTTCGTTCCCGACAATACTGGGATGGCACAACTGGAAAACTTTCTATGTGTTTTCTGATATCATCGACTATATGTTGTGGTGTACATTTTTTAGTATTTTTTCCTTGAAAATCCTCTGACCCCATATTCATTTTACTTCTCTTTGTAACAGCAATGTCGACTACTCCCTTCTTTATAGCAAATGTATTAATAAAAAATGTTTTACAAACCTTTGTTCTCATATTATTAACTGGTAAATAAAATGTGGTAGATCTAAACTAAAGGTAGAATTACGATCTAGTTAATGTTTTTTTTTATTCTCACTAGGCACTTATCTAGTTTTGGTTCAATAAGCGGAAATATTTTTACACCAATATATTTTTCTAAAAGTAGATAACTAGAGTTATCTATAAATGTTTTCGTTTAGCGTTAGTGCCGAATAGTAGATATCTGTACATACCAAGTTGTAGTTTTCAAAGAATGGCTCATATAACACATACCTACTTTTAAACAAAATGTCATACCTAATGAAGTAGGGACAATATCAGATAACTACTTATAGCATTCGATACATCGTAGTAAGGCCGATGTCTTAAAATGGATATCTCAGAATCGCAAAAAAGTCGAGTTACCTAGTTATAGAATTAAGGTATGAATATGATCGGTAAATTTTTTGTCTGTCACTATAATTCGCTGATTTTTTTTATATCTCTAATACTTACCAATAGGATGATATATCGTAACGGAATATAGTCTTATCATACACTCCCAATATTTATCAGAATATTTGACAATATGAGCGCAGTCTGGGAACTCAACTAATCGACTATCGTATGACTGAAACGCAGGAGTTTTACTAAGAGCTACAGCTATCTTTACCCCTTCTATTAAAGTCTTCATATCATCGTCTTCCATGAAATAGTTCGGGTATATTAAAGGTGCGTCGAAAGGGTTTTGGCTGCGAATCTTAATAAAACCTAAAAAAATAAAAAAAAAACTGTTTAGTTTTGTTTAAGATGAGGGTAAACAATTTCAATGTGACCGAAACTATATTAAAACGATAAACGTATAAAGTATTATACTAAGTATTGTTATTTATGTTTTTTTTGTTATTTTCTTCTTCTATTATTATTCACAATCTTCTTCGATTCTGTATTCATCCTCAATCTTCTTTATTATTATATCCTTTCTAGTTTTTATAATGTGTTCTAAAACAGAACAAAGCATAGGGGATTACCAGTACGGTTTTACAAAAGGAAGATCCACAATAGACGCTATACATACGCTAAAACAAGTGATAGGGAATACATACGAATACGACGGAGAAACATATATACTTTTCCTAGACTTTAAACAGGCGTTTGACAAACTAAACAGAAGAAAAATGATTTAAGACTTACAAAAGAGAAGTGACAATGCGAGATTCCCAAGCAATAATAATCTTAATCTTAATCTAAGCAATAATAAACACCGGAAGAAAAAGAACATAAATAATAAAAATAAAATATAGAGTAAGACAAGGAGATGCGCTGTCAACAGTACTATTTATTCAATTACTAGACAAGATAATAAAAAAGCTCTCAAGCGCAGGAACTATAGACAAGAATACAGTAGAAATAATGCGGACGATATGACAGTAGCATATATATATATATATATATATATATATATATATATATATATATATATAATATATATATATATATATATATATTATATATATATATATATATATATATATATATATATATATATATTATATATATATATATATATATATATATATATATATATATATATATATATATATTGTTATGCTATGTAAAATTGAAAATAATATTAGTTTGCTTAATATGTTTCAAAGTACAAAATATAATAATTCAAATAATTCGACTAATAAACTATAAAAGATATTTCAAAGAAATGAAAGTCCATTATCCTGGATTACCTGTAGTAAACAAAATTTTAAAGATATGCATAAATTATTTTATTTGTAAAATATATTCGAGTGACGTGAGTGAGCTTAATGAAATCATGAACAATGCGAGCGTGTTCTCCAAATGGACTTGTACAGTGAATAAGAAAATTTTAAATTTAGAAAATATATTTCTCCGTTAGTTCTTAAGAATTTGTAGAAACCGATTAGCATGTTAATAGTTTTTAGGAAATTTGTAATTATAGGTAAAATTGTTGTTTGTTATCTAAATGAAGAGATAGGGATATGTGTGACGAGCTTTGATTGGAGGAGATTGAAAAAAGTGGGATAGGTATGTAAGAATGTGAGTGTAGCTAGATTTTTGAGGTAAAAAAGATAATCAGTTGTTTTCCAATGGTGCAAGGCGAACAGTCGTTGTTCCTGGTGGTTCCCCAGAGGTAGTAAGCAGTAGAAGTGAATGTTTATGAGTTTTCGTGGAGTAAGTGTATCTGACACAAGCTGATCCAGTAAAATATTGTAAGTTATATTTTTCTACTTATATTCCAAGAGTCACTGTTCAGGCAAGAACGAGAGATTCAGTTTATCGAGAGGAGTAGAGGCTAGCATTATTTGAACGATATGTGCGTGTGAAGGAGATCATTAAAGACGAGAGGCTCGCTACAATTTGTTGTAAGATTGCTGATTACCTAGGGGACTGCTAAGAATAGATAGTGTAGGCTACAAAGAACAAGAATTTGGACAACTCATCATCAGAGAGATAGTTTTACTATTCGTCAGTTTTTCTTTATTAACAACACATTTTTTTAACAATTGCTTTAGAAAAGATAGGAATATTTTGATCAGAAGATTTAGAACAACAATTTTGATTTGAGATTTTAATTTATATTGTACATACCATTAATTTTTGAAGGTTCGCGTACGTAGAACAAAATTTTGATAATCATTATATGAGTTATTTTTTATTGAAGATATTTGAGTGTGAATTTTATTTTAATATATTTTTATTTTAATATATAATGTTGTATCATATATGTTTTTTATTATTCCGGTATTCTTTGGACCTTACCTATAATATGTAAAGCATAGATATTGAAGCACGAGCATAACCCTGAGATAAGAGAATTAAATAGTGTGATAGAATCATAATTGCATCATTTATATAAGTTTAATTGTTTAATTAATTAGCTAATTAATTGCTTGGCGCACCTCAGACTTTTAATATCACATTAATATATATATATATATATTATATATATATATATATATATATATATATATATTGTTGTACTTTTGAATGTCCATTAGCAATAAAAAACCGATATACAAATTTTATTACTTAAATAAAAATTAAAATTATTGATATTTCATAAAGACACGGGCATATAAATTTTCAAACATCCTGTATAAGACAAAATATGTATTTTAAGTTGTTCGAAGAATTGTTCATTAGGCCTCAGAGACAAGACTTTCAAATATTATCGATAAGAAATTTAAATAAGTCGGTTATTGTGGAATGGATTTACCCAGAATAAAAGTGTATATAGACAGTGTTTAAACAATAGACCGGGATTTGCGGTGGTTTTTATCCCCGAAAGATTATATCGGTAAAAGTTTATTAACAAAAGACATTGAATTGAGAAACAGGTATCGTTTGTAGCTATTAGTAAGAAATATTTGTAAAGCAGATAGATTTAGTTAGAATAATTAAAGAATGTTGTTTTCTGGAATTACCCGAATGACGTTTTATAAAGAGAGTTGGTTGGTAACGATATACGTCACAGAGGTGGATGATTTTTATTGGTCAATTTTTGAATGCAATGGAGGTAGTGGTTTTGGCTATGAGATAGGAGGAAAAAAGTTAGTTAGTTAGTTTTCGTCGCCTAAGAAGGAAGGAGCTTTGTGGTGTGTGTTTGTTTGAAGTCCCGAAGACGTAATTTACCGGGTGTGTTTATTTGCTGTGTAAAAGCTGATCAGTGTGAGGAACGGGGTACAGAGAGATAGAAAAACCAAAGGGTATAAGAATATTAATATCAGACGAAGCCGGAAACATTTGAAGTTATAAACAGGCGCGGAGATTGGCTCAAAAGGAGGCTGCATAGAATTACACGAGTTGTTGGGTTGCAGATACAAGGACAGATAGGAGAAAGGTGTACGTCATCTGGACCACAATAGGAGCAGAAGCAGAGAAAGGTTTTTTTTATGGCGTGGCCATAGAATTACAACGGCAGAGAACGAAAGGTCAGTCAATTTTCATTAGAGCAGGAGTGTGGTTTTCATTTATTAATTAAATAAATTGAATAAATAATAGAGACAGTTAATTTTGCGATCATTTAAAGAAAAAAATTATAAAGAGAGCTTAGTTATAACACATATTAAAAATCAATGTAAAATAACATTTGGGTCCATGATAGAAAACAACTTCTCATATATTTAAAGTATTATATTGCAAATATTACAGGATTGATTGTTATATAAAATTTCATTAAAATAAAGGACATCTCACATATAGTTCAGTTGAAATTCTGTGTATTTTATTCAGGTCATATTACCTATCCCAATTAGGAAGCCAATTGGAAAATATTTTGAATCCACGATCAAAGGTAAATAGTACAAGTTAAATAGCCTGAGATTGTAATTAATTAATGCTGATTTATTGTGATTAATTGGAGATTAGATCATTTAATAAATATAGACAGGATCTTTTCTAAATAAGCAATAGAATACAATTTAAATAGCATAACAATATATATATATATATATATATATATATATATATATATATATATATATATATATATATATATATATATATATATATAAGGATCACTCAGACGAGTGGTGGGTTCTTATATCGGTCTCTAGGTGGAGAAATAAAAGACAAAGTTGATAGGCTACTTTATCTATTTTGAAGACGTTTCGCTTTCGAGTTTTGAAAGCATCATCAGTTCATCTAAAAAATTTTACAATATGAGAACCACACAATCATGGAAACGATGTTAATTGTTACCTTAAAAAGATATGTAGCAGTCAATGTTATTAACAAACATGTGAATGAAACTAAGTAAATGGACATAATACGCTGATCTTGTATAAACAGTTAAGCAACTAACAACATATATGAACTTGTAAAAAATTAGCACAGCAAATGACCATGTGGTCTAAAGTAAATTCAATGTTATTTAGTGTTAATAAGTGAGTAAGAACCAAGAAATCATAAATAACTTCCAACTATTTAATGGATATTAAGCTTTGATTTTAACTTTAGGTAGCATTATAAGTGATATTAATAAAATGTTAAAAAGTAGTAAAAATGAAGTTACCGATCAAAGCCCTATGAATGTCGCCGAGAAAATGGCGTTTAATGAAACAGGAAATTATATTGGATTGGATATATATTGGATTGACGGTCGTACTCCTTTTTCCGATATATATATATATATATATATATATATATATATATATATATATATATATATATATATATATACATATATATATATATATATATATATATATATATATATATATATATATATACTTATTATATTAATATTCAAGAGATATATACAATTTGTAACATAAATTGTGTAGTACCTTTACTTTTTGGCCGCAACAACATTGGTATAACAGTCCAAGCATCTTTGTCATGAATAGGCTTAAATACTCGATCATAAAAAGCGTCTGACAAACCATGAGCCTTTTTTATTTGAGCCCCTTTATCAGAATGGCTACCTCCGGAACAAAAATGGAATTCGATGTCTGGAAAATCCTCTGACGCGTTGGCGTATTTGGTATTGACGAATGCCAGACCTTCTACTCCGCCCATGATAGTTAAGGGACCTCCGCCAAAGATGGCATACTGCATAACCGGACCTAAAACGAGGACAAAATACTGTTAGGACTGCCCTTACTACGCCCCTGATCGAACATCAGTTAGACGTTCAATGATCTGCAGCTGTCAAGAGAATTTGACTGGGTCCTGGAAGCTTTTCGAAAAGATAGGACAACCACATATTATAAGCGCGATTACAATTCAAATAAGTTAGTCTAAAATATAAATATGTACGATTAAATAAACAAATGTCATAAATAGGGGTTTATTGTTAGTGTTTAAAGAAGACTTTAAATAAACTAAACTAAACATTGCAATACTAATATAGGAAGATGTCTAGAAAGTATAGAAAATCAATCAAGGTTTCAGGAGAAAGGGGAACCAAATAGCACCAGCATATGTAGAGAGAGGGGGTAACCAAAAAAGCAGCATTTCTTTTTTTTTTTTTTTCAAGTGAATCATTTCCCTGTCGGAGGTTGGATATCTTCATAAATATTCCAACTTTATTGGCAACCACTCAAGAAAGATCTAAAAGGTCGATAGTAGGCGAATTCTTTAATTCGATCAATATTTGAGTAATCGTTTTCTTTTACTCATTGAACTCTTATTCTTCTTCTTCCTCTTCTTCTTTCTACATAGAGATGACTCTGTCTGTTTTTCAATGTGCCTCCAGTAAGTTGTCATTCCATCGTTTTCGTGGTCTTCCTACTGATCGTCATCGTCCTCCTATTGGGGAACCGTCAATTACCGTACTACTCTATTTGTTGTCATTCGGCTTATATGATCGTTCCATTTTACTCTTCTATTTCGTACTCAGTTTTTTTATGTTCTCCACCTTGCATCTATGTCGAATATGTGTACTTTAAGCTCTGTCCCATAGTGTCTTACCATCAATTTTTCCAAGTATTTTCATCTCTGCTATTTCTAACATCCTTTGTGTCCTCTCTGTGTCAGGTCTTGTTTCTGCTGCGTATGTCATTATTGGTCCGATGACTGTTTTGTAAATTCTGCCTTTCGTTTCTTTCCGATATCTCAATCAACTCAATCTCAATGAGATGGTAGTAAGTGCTGACGTATCAATGATTATCGTTTCATGACTTTATGTTGAACGATCATTCAGCGATCATTGTTACAGTTGACTTGAAGAAAACTACTTTTGATATGAAAATCTCAAACATTGAGTTTTATATCAATAGAACGAGACCATTATTATGAAATCAATAAAAAAAAATTGACTAACTTGTACCAGGGGAGTAGTAACTTCTCCATTCACTGCTTTAAATTTTAATTTTAATTATTTAACTTTGTCCACTTTTTTTCACTTTTTACACTGTTTTTTACTTTACCTGAAAAGCTTCCTTTTAAAATTAAAAACGTACAATATATCACAGATTTTAAATTTTATTTACGCGCTATACTTAGTATAGGCAAACAACGCGAAATATACGCTTAAACTGATCTATGGTCAAGCAAATAAAAAATAAAATGAGTCATGAACTGATCGATTACGTTCATCGTATCGTTTAGCTCCTGATATGGTTTTAACCAAGAGGTGTGCCAGTAGCGGAAAAAGGATGCATTATGGTCAGTACATAACATATTTAGATTTCCAGAGTTATAAGTACATTGTGTTGTGCCTGTATGTGGTGGTTATAAGTATACAGGTGCCTTTGTGTTGAACGATATATTTCTTTTGTTAAATATTGTTTAATTCAATAAAAATGGAAGAAACGAGTAGTGGTAGGGAGAGTGTCAATGTGAAAAGTTTCCTCAAACAGGATTTGAAGCTAAAAAATAGTGTCTAATGTATATAAGTATTTGAGAAAAACGTCTCAACTTCAGGCAATAACTTGTTGAGATAGTATGACAGGAGTATCTTTATCCACTTTTATAGGATTGTACATCAAAAACAACGCTCGGGTGAGGTTAAGGTCCCACAGACACTTCTAGGAGATCGAAAACCAATTGAATTGATTAATTAATTATAAATTAATTATAGATTAATGATTATAAAAATTCAGAAATAAGACGTACAGTTAGGTCATTCTTATTATTTTAATAAGGAAATTCATATTCTACACAATATCTTTTCTGAATTAAAAACTAATAAAGAAGAATTCAGCGTTGACAGAGAAACCTGAAATCATTACATGGCGTCGCAACTATCTGCGTAAAATGTTCCGTGTGAATTCCGTGAACAAAGTAGAAAAATCGATTATTTAGATGAAACTTGACGCTTGTAAAATGGAAGTATTTGTTTAGTGGCGTACTTGCAGCAATCGTTGATTTAGTTGCTGATTCAGCTGTTGATTCATCTGTTGTGTCATTATTTTGCTGTGTTAAGACATTTCGACTATAATGTCAGGAGATTGATTAATTCCTCTATTAAATAGACTAACTCGGTTATTTTGATACTCAAAAGAATTAAATTTTTCTCAGAAAGAAACTTCGAATCTTGATAATTGCCTTTCATTTTGTTTACTGCTAAATATGTAGGATCAATTGCGGGGAGGATTGTAGTTGTAAGTATTTATGTAATTCATGACTCGATTTATAACTTCATCCAAATAAACACGTTTTGACATATTTTGGAAGTCATTATGTACATACAGACCAAAAAATCATCTGCGGTTGCTAGTACTCTTTCTATTGATAGACTAGATAATTGACTATACTTCTGAAATAAAGAGAATATACTAATTTAAGTATTTTACATCTTTAAGTATGTAGTCGACACCCGCTCATTCGCGAGCGGATTATTCGCGTCTCTAGACCTTTTAGAAGATATAGAACCTTTTTTTAATTTAAATAAAAATTAATTATAAACTAGATTTAATGTATTATTTTTACTATTATAAGCAGTAATATAATTTCTATTACTACAATGTAAATGACCATATTTTCTTATGCGCCGTCAATGATCAAATTCTAAATTTCCGAAAATTCGTGATTGATATGTGATTTTGCTAACTTTTGGCCAGTTACGACGCGTGACTATGGATGAATAATTTCATTTTTTTATTTGCCAAACTATAGAATTGCCGATCTGTTACAGCGATAATCAATCCTTGATGTGACCTACCAATGAAGAAGTAGAAGAGAATGGACACAAACCAAATATAAAATACCTTTGCGGAAAATCTTTCTTTTTCAATTATTGTATTTTTCATATTCTTACCTACAGCATAAACGCGATCCAACGTAATAGACTCCGGTTTATTAATCAAAAACGTTAATCCTCCAAGGCCAATGTGGTCTTGCAAATTGTGTCCCACTTTTAGATCCTGTATAACAGGAATTTTGAATTTGTCCAATTCGCTTTTCGGTCCTACTCCAGACAACATCAATAACTGTGGAGAGTTTACTGCTCCGGCAGACAGTATAACCTCTTTCTTTACTCGTATCCTAAAAGAATACATAGTAGTAGAATAATTGGTCGAATAGAGCTAAAAATAGTATAAAAAGTTCAAAAAGCAAATATTAAAAATAAAAACAAACATGGAAAACTTGCAAAATATAAAACTGTACCTAATCGTTTATTAGTACCTGTACAGTTTATTGTCCCTATAAAACTCCACTCCGTAACTGATTTTTGTTTTTGGGTCTATAAGAACACGCGTCACATGACATCCCATAGCTACGTGTAAGTTAGGTCTTAGTCTTACAGGTCTCAAGAAGGCTTTTCCCGTGGAACATCTTGAACCTCTTCTTACAGTACCTTAAATTAAACTTAACTAAATTCTAAATATAAAATATATTTAAATATGTAAATCGGCTGCAATATAAGGATTTGACTAAGGATAATTTGCTGTGATAAGAATGGTGAGCTTCCTTTATTTAATGATAATATTACCTTGTGCCATCATAAATCCTGTCTGAAACTCTCCATTGATATCTCTATTTTCATAACCCAGTTGCTTTCCACCTTCAACAAAAGCCGCCACTAAAGGAGTACGATATGGGGGCTCTGAAACTGTAAGGAACCCTCCAGTGGAGTGATAGGGAGTTTTAGCCAAATAGGGATTTTGATTGTCTTCGGATTTTTTAAAATAGTACAAAGCATCAGAATGGCTCCAACCGGGATTACCCATTGATTCCCAGATGTCGTAGTCTTTTTTATTTCCCCGGAGATACAACATGTAGTTTAGTACTGAAGAGCCACCAATTACTTTTCCTCTAGGCCAGTTACACCGTCCATTATTCATAGCTAAAAATCAGGAACCAGTATATATAAATGTACTATTGAATCGTCTAGGCTCAAAACTCAAAATAAATACCGTAGTCGCTAAAATAGACAATACTTTTTAAGAAATCTTTAGACATTCTTACATAGAGTAGTTATAGCTTTCGTTGACAATTATTATTCCTTGTTGATTTACAATAAAATGAGAGAAAAAAAGATTAATTATTATAACTATCCAGATAGTTAGACTATAAATATTAAGTCCAGATATTAAACCAAATTTATATTATCTACATAAAAATAAAATTATATTTAACTCCAAAAAGGAATTATATCTCTTAATCCTTAAATATCCAAAATATATACCTAAACAAGCTTGTCCTTGAGGTTCACTTTTGTACTTCCAGTCCAATGCAGACAACTGCAAGTATCCAGCCATTAGTGGTACGTCTGATATTTCGGTTTCATCTCCACCAGCCTCCAATAATAGAACCTTCCATCTATCTATCTCGCTCAGTCTATTGGCTACCACTGCACCTAAAATGTTTTGTTAATGAATAAAACAAATATATCACTTAAAAAAATAAGTTTCTGTTAGGACGAAATCACACTGTTACATCTTTTTTAACTTCTTTTTTGCTACTTTTCCCATGAAATTTCAATGAAGATACTACTCTTCTATGTTTATTTTTTTCAGCAAGTTTGAAATGTTGGTAAGACCATATTGGAAATTGTATCTTCATTTATTTGGAGATTTCTCAATTGTCTGCTCCAGAGTTCTTAAAACATGACAGCTTGAGAGTATATGTTGTAACGATGATACCATCAGCGCCTGCCACATGCTGTCCCTCTCTCTTTATGCCTGCACTCCCACCGACAACCTACCACTATCATCGATACGCGCTATAGATGGAACTCCGCCAAAGGTATAACGCCGTGGATAACGACAACAAACAGTTTGATCCAGAGTATCGATCTGGTAATAGCTCCTACTTCGGTACCTTGGGTACAGAGGTAGGAGCTTTTATTATATATTAGACCTATATTAGGAGCTAGAACAACCCCGTGTCCTTTCCCGTGCCTGGCGATCGAGTATTGATTGATGCCTCGGTTCCCTATCTATGTCGAGTATTGATCGACCGGCTCAGACCACCTCTAACCTAGACTGAGTAATGATCAGTGATTCTCCGATTTTGGGTATTGACCGAAGATCATCCTTTACCTGACCCATCCGAGTGTCGCTAATATTTATTTTTCATCGGTATCATCGATTCATCTTTTTAGTTCTATTGTATGTATCATATGTTGAAGTTAATTTTATGTTTGTTGTTTATTTGAATATCTTTTTGTTTGGATTAAACTTGTGTTTTACAGAGTCTGCTTCTCTACAGAGAAATTCTTCATTTTCTTCTTTTCAAGAAGCATATCTCTATGTTTCTTGATTACTGAATCTGAGGCATTTCTTCAATCATTGGCCGTGTTTTCTTTTGCTATTCCACTGTAGATTAGTATGTATTCACCTAATTTTGATTGTCCTTTTCCTTTCTTTTTGTTTTCTATAGAGCAGAAATGTCTATTTCTTTCTCTTTCAACTTGGGTTATTTCTTGGCCCATTGAGTTGAGTGATCTGATATTCCAAGTAGTAATTCTCATCTGGGTTTTGGATGTTTTTCGCTTGTCCTTATTTCTTGCCGTAGTCGTCTTCATAGTATCAATCCGGTTCCGAGGCTGTACATTGTTTCTTTTAGCAGGAATTATTTTTACGATTGGTAGGTTGGTAACACTTTTTGAGTTGGAATGCGTGAGTTTGACTGTGGGGAAGGAGGAAATGCCCTTCTGGGAATGATGCCGAACTAGGAGTGTGGATGTGTATGAATGGAGAATGAATGAATAAAGGTAGTACTTCGGAAGTGATGCCGGCCTTACAGCGGCCATTCCGCTTCCGGATCGCTGGATGACAGAGGAGGGTCTGGTTTAGCAGGTAGGCGTTCGGCGTAGACTCGGCGACGAGAGGGCATTTTAAAGTACCTCGGGAACTATCGCCGGGAGTACGAAGAACGAATCCTGCACTAAGGTTAGTCAGGCGGCGTCTTGGACTGAGATGTCTTTTGAAGATTCCAGACCCCCCTCTATAAAGACGAAAAAAAGGTTGGTAACCTTGCCAATCACCCTCCCCATTTTATCCGGGTTTGGTACTGGCTGTGGTAACCGCAGAGCTACTCAATCCACCCCGCAATCACCTCAGGCAGTGTTTACTTAAAGCTATAAAAATAAAATCTATCTAAAAAATAATTTTACTTAAATCCAAAGTAGGAAAATCCGGAATGTGTGAATCAGTTATCAAAAATAATATTGTATATTATTATTATTATTATTATTGAGTTTAATGCATCGACAACTAATGGTCATTGGCATGGTACAGTGAATTTTTACAGTCAGGGAGCTAGTGTAGAGTGTAATGTGTGTAGAGTAATAGTCTTGATACTTAGCAAAGTCGACGTCATTGTCTTTGCTAAGAGACGCTAATTGTATCCGAACGTCTGCGGTCCCTCCGGTGAGTACCGATCGCACAAGGATAGAAATTATTTTCATTTATTAATTTTTAATAAACGTAAATTTCTCCACCCAGGTGAGATTCGAACTCACGACCTTTAGGTTCAAAGGTAGGCGCTCTTACCACTGAGCCACAAGGGTTAAAAAAAACAGATGAAAACGATATTATAAATCAAAGCGATAAAAAAAGTTTTATTAACTAAGTTAGAATTTTATATTAAAAAACCAAATTTTAATACAACAAAAATAGAAGAAAATAATATATAACAGATGAACATATATTAAATATAACAGAAAAATATGCTACATGAATCCAAACATCAGCAAAAATATTCTGGTATTATTATTATTTCCTGCCATAATAAATGCATTGAAAAGCTTTCCTATGATGATCAAAAAGCAATTTTTGATGATTTTCAAAAAAGGTGAAGACAAAGACCAAGTGATTTCTGTATGAATGAAGATAGAGACGAAGAATAAAACGAAAAGTTAAAGAAAAAAGCAGAAAAGTTAAAATAAATTGTTTCTTCCTGATATTTTTACATTTTACATTTTATATTTTATAAAGAAAAATATTCAAAATCCGCAAAATGAATGTTCCAACATATTTTTCTTATTCACGAGCGTTCTTCGTCAAAGAAGTGGGCAATCATCATTGGTATCCTATGCTTATGTTTGAGGTGACTGCAAAAACATTTGTATTGAATTGCATCTGAATCATTCTGTAGGATATTTACATGTCTACATGTATGTTGTCCACACAAGGGGAAAATATCCCATAACCTTTTCCTGTTGTTAAAAACGTTGGAAACGTTTGGCATTTCTTTCATCACGTAGCTGTAGCTTCCTCCGTCGATGTGTTAGTTAGTGGTCTGAAACCTCAGATTTTAGATCAATCTCCAATTCATCTACTAATTAACAATGTCCTGTGTGTGTGTGTTTGTTTTTTTTTTTGGAAAGCGCAGTCTGGTATAATCATAAATTTTTTACTAGACCTTCCCATCGCTTTTCTTCTATTCTGAATCAATGTATCTTTGTATTTTCCTTAAATTCTTCTAAAATTATCGTCTATTTTCTATCTATCGTTTTTTTTTTCATTGCCCAAGAATGTCTGTTTCTCTAGGGTGGGGTTGAGTCAGGAGTAAGAGTTTTTACTAAGGATTGGTTTAGGTAATTATTTGAAATTAAGATTGGTAATTATAGGAATGATACAGCGAAAAATATAAAATTGTATTTCGCGTGTGAAAAATCGAACAATAGATATTGTTATTATATGGAATAGTCCCAACAATCAATGCAAATCGGTGTTATAAATTAATAAAATATTTTTCCGCAAATCGCCAGGAAATTTTGACATTCCTGTCAAAATTTCTTGAAGAAAGTCAGGACTTCCTTACTGTAAGGAAATGTCATTTCCTTACTGTAAGGAAATGATATTTTCGTACAGTTGTTAGTGTTCTACATAAATGATAGAAAACACATTGCTTATAAGGAATTAATTTATATTTTGAAAACATCAAGTCATTGCTGAATACATTTTTAAGATCAATTTGTTATATTTACAGTAATTTGACAGTTAGTACAATTATTGAACATTGGAGGAACACTCTTAGAACTATGAGAAACATTTTGGACAACATGCAGGGTGGAAGTGTCATTTTGTTGAATATTTTGTACTGTGAAAATTTTATTTGCCACCTCAACCTTATTGTTAAGCGATTCTTCGATATATCCTTCAGCAACGTTTGATGACTTCCATCCGCCATCCCTCTTTAAACTAGTTATGTCGGCACCAGAGTCAACCAATATTGTTGCAGAAGACCGACGAAAGCAGTGACCAGTATATTCTGTCGGAGTTACCAAGTTCAAATAAGTAGCAATTATTTTGGGCATTTTTCTAAATTGATGAATTCCTACCACTTGTCTACAACCCTTTCCGCTTTGATATTTAAAGAAAAATCGGTCACTGTTCATATTTTCTGGTCTTAACGAAATACTTTCGATAAACATTCAAGTAGATCTGATTAATTACAAATGATCTTGGTTTGTTGGTTTTCGAATCAGGTATGCTGATTAAAAGCTTAGATTCTAAGTCTTCTATATCGTGTACAGTCATTCGGACTAACTCATCCATTCTACAGGCCCCAGAAATACCAAATATTACAGCCACCTAAAAAATAAATAAAGCTATAATCTAAATAGAAATTAAAACCTTGTAAATTACCTTAATCATTAAATTTCTCTTTATCTGAGCTTCCTGGATAAATTTTTCAATTTCTTCCTTCGTTAAAATCTTAGATTTCTTTGCCCTATAACCTTGAGCTTGCCGTTTCAATAAAGAACGAAGTTTTGAGTATGTAGATATATCTACATTGTGTTTAAGTGCAAGGGTTGACTTCAGCATTGAATAATTGGCCCATAATGTTGAAGATTTCATCTTTAAACAAAGGTCTAGGAAGTATGCCATTACAACATTTTCTGAGAAAGAACTCGTATTTTTACTCATGCGATAATCCATAAAACGTCTGTATGCATTTTCGTACTTTTCTCTTTGATTTCTTTGGCAATAATTCTAATGAAGCAGTATTCACTGCCTCAACCAGCTCTGGAGGAGTCCCAGGAATGGAAATTTCATCATCACTTATCATTTTACTTTCGAGAACACCAGCAATTAAATTTATAAGCGTCAAGTTTGACAATTCAACCTCAATACGTTTCCATAGTAACCCAAGTAATTTTATTAGGAATTTCAAAGCACCATTTATTTGGGAATAAAATTATCGCGTTTTTTTTTAAATCAATCAATATCTGTCGAATTTTAAACGATTTGCGGAAAAATAGTATGTTTACCTCGTAGGAAAAGCCACATTCCTGGACTGTGTTGCTTCTTCACAGTCGTCCAGGAATGTTAAGCTTTTCCTAGCCGGTAAACAATGTACTATTAATGATACATTTGACAGTGTAGTGGTGATTATAATAAATGTTTACCTGCAGATCCCGCTCCAACCACTATAAAATCATACGTATCTAGCAATTCCTCTGTCGGTACATCGATGGGTCTGCTTTCAGGATCGAGCTGTTCGTACTGAAAATAAGCCAAAGCTGCTACTAGGGTAGGTAAGAAAACTGCTAAGCTGGAAACGGCTTCAGCTCCTAGTCCATACAGTGGAGCTGCTATCGCACTCATGACTAAAAAATATTAATATATTACAATATAAGTGTAAATACGAAAGTTAATCAGTTCAATACTTTGTTTAATAAGTGTGTCCAAAAAAATGAATGAACTTGAATATCGTCTTGTCATAAAATTACTTATTGCCGATGGATCTTATTTATCACTAGAACAAGGACAGCAACGTTAAATTTGCTAGTATGAAGCAAATTGGGAGATTCATGGAAAATTGATTAATAATCAACCTTGCTAAAAATAAGCTAAAGGAAATGGGGGATAACGAAAACACAGTATTCAAACTAAAAAACCTAAAAGCGCTGGAATAACAAACGAAAAGCTTAGGCGCAAAATTTCGAGCCAAGTCCTTGAAACTTCTATAATGTTTATTTTAATAAGTTACAGGGGTGAAAAAAAAAAGAGAAAATTTAGTGTGATTTTTAATTTCAAATATCTCATTCAAAAACAGTTTTTGTTTAATCTAAGGGACTTTCGGCCCTCGGTAATAATGTAATCTTTTATTCGGCGTTTAAATTTTTCAAAAATATTTGTTAGTTTTCTCAGGATTCGAAAAAAATGAATGCATTTAAAAGCATTGGCCCGAAATTTTGCGCCTACGCTCTTAAGTATGCTGGAGAAAAGTTGACTGAGGAACTGCGTAGTTTCTTTCAGACTCACCGTGTATAAGAAAATACCGATGCCTTGTAAAAAAGTATAATCATGTATAACTAATATTTAAAAATTTTATAAAGATGAAAAAGACGATTCCAAAAAGAGCACATCGAAAAGTCAATATACCTCGGAGTCAAACTAAACCGCTCATTAACATACAGGTTCCACTATAAAAAACCCAAAAGAAGGTGGATGAGCGCAACAACCTTTTAAGGAAACTTAGCAGTAGTAATTGGGACACCAAACCCACAGTACTAAGATCAACAGATCAGGAATGGAAGAGATTTGCGCGCGCCAAGTAAGTAAATGTAAGTCTGAACTAAACTTACAAACGCATTACCAGCTGTATGGATACCCTTCTATCTTAAAACTCTTCTGGATAAACAGTATAAAGCTTGAGGCCCCTAGGATTCTGACTAACACGAATTCATCGAAAAATCCGAACAAACTCCTACAAACGCCACCCTCTTTTTGCCCACTAACCGTATCCTGGAAGACTGAAATCAAAAAAGTATTAACTTGGCGCCCTTCTAGACGTACCGTTCCCGTCATAAAAAACTGGTACAACTCTTATAATCAAAAATCGTGTTTTTTAAGTTGTGTACGTTGATCTTGTCATATGTGTCATTTTAATTTCTAGCGCACAGTTGCCAGTTCAACGAAAATATTATATCAAACCAGCTAAAAGCAGGACTGTTGTGACAGACCGCCAGTTTAGAGTATACTAAAAACTAAAACATTATCGAGCATTCTTGATCACTCAGTCACATTAAATTTGTTTAAACATGCATTCTTAAAAATTCTCATATTAATTTTGTAATTTTCCATCATCGCAATTAAGTACCCATACATTGATTTGTGTTTTATACCAATTTATGAAAATATTTCAATTCAAAAATAATGACAGATAATCAATCTAGACAAACTTCAAATTGTTATAATAAAACATTACAGTGAGATATTGGATTGTAACTGTTAAGTTTTGAAAAGCGTTTTTTCGCCCCGAATATTTTATAGTTTATAATACGTAGGAATGTAAAGTATAATGTTAGTTTTTCACATTTTTTATCGTTCTTGTAATAAATAATAAATTAATCTTGGTAGTTTGCCTGTTACAAAACTTATTGACGCAGAATACAGTTCGAGTTCGGTAGGTAATTAAAGTATAAAATTACAGTAGATGCATTCCAATGTTCCCTGTGTCAATATCCTAGGTTTAAAGATCATTCAAACATTTTGGATAATAACTCAATTCTATCTCTGCTTATTTAATTTCTTAGATACGATTTTTTGTTGTTAATGATATAAATAATACCTATCTAAAAATGTTATACATTTTTGGACGTTATTTTTTTATTTAGATTTGGTGCAATTCCGTTATCTGTAACGGCAACAACGAATTGATTTCTGAACACAGGTTTACATTGGGAAAAAAAGTGTACCAGTTTTATATGACGGGAAGTGTACCACCAACATGTTATACACTAATTGAAACTCCACAAAGTGGGATTTCAAGCGACTGGTGGACGTGGCGCATGCTGGACCATTTACGAACCGGTGTAGCACCAACCAAATCAAACTCTATTAAATGGGGTCTGCTGAAGGGGAATGACGACAAGTATGACTGACGGAACATCTACTAGCCTGGCCAAATTACCCGCATAGATGACTCTCGATGAATTATGGACAGGCAATCAACTGCATTGAAAACAACCCAATACTGGGCTCAGAACTTAACACGAAAAAGTAAAGGCAAGTTAACGTAGTAATCTTGACCTAGCATTACGTTTGTTTATCATTACGTACTTTTAACTAGTTAATATAATACTTTGTAAAAACATTGTGTTTTATTACCAAATCAGTTGCAAAACTAAGAACCACAACATATGACAGTACCTATAACAACACATGTTGAAGCATGGCAGCGATGAGCATGGCATCGATGATAGCTTTGATGAGTCATGCTCTAAAACTGTTCTTAAAAATAATCCATAATAGGATCTATAGGAAATTAGACGTAGACATCAGTAACACTCAGTTGGGATTCAGAAAAGGGCTGGATACAAGGGAGGCTCTGTTTGCAATGAACGTTCTCTCACAGAGATGCTTAGACATGAACCAAGAAATTTACGCCTGCTTTATTGATTTCGAAAATTCGAAAAGGCCTTTGACAAAGTATAACATGAACCACTAAGACAAGTTCTAATAAAGAAAAATATAGACAGCCGAGATATTCGAATTATATGTAATCTATATTGGAATCAAACAGCAAATGTCAAGGTTGAGGGCAGACTAACAGAAGAAATTCAAATCCGTCGAGGAGTCCGGCAGGGATGTATCTTATCGCCACTTTTATTTAATCTGTATAGTGAAGCTATCTGTGAACAAGCACTCGAGGAAGAAGATCTTGGTCTGATAATAAATGGTGGAGACGATCAACAGTATAAGGTATGCTGACGATACAGTTCTCCTAACGGGAACGCTAGTAGAACTACAACATCTCGTTCAAAGTCTCAATATATACTGTAACAGTTACGGCTTGAAAATTAATTTGAAAAAAACTAAATTTATGGTAATCACGAAATCAAAGAACATCAGAGCTAATCTTGTAATGGACAATACAACGATTGAGCGTGTGCCCTGTTATAAATATCTAGGTGCTTGGATCACAGACGATACTGATTCAAACAAAAGAGATTAGATGTAGAATAGAAATCGCTAGATCAGTCTTTAATAGAATGCGCAAACTCTTTTGCAATCGTTATATCAATATAAAGTTACGAATACGAATGCTGCGGTGTTATGTCTTTTCTACCCTGTTATATGGAGTTGAGGCTTGGACACTAAAACAGTTGACCATAAAAAACATCGAAGCTTTCGAGATGTGGTGCTATAGGCACATTCTCAGAATATCATGGATGGACCGCGTCACTAACACGCAAGTACTCCAACTTTAGACAAAAGATGCGAAATTCTAAATGAGATAAAAACTAGAAAGATGGAATACTTGGGGCACATTTTGAGAGGTGAAAAGTACGAACTTTTAAGAAACATCATGCAGGGCAAAATTAAGGGCAAAAGAAGTGTGAGAAGAAGAAAAATTTCGTAATCTACGTGAATGGTTCGGGTGTAGTTCGATTGAACTTTTTAGGCGCGCTGCTAACAAAGTCGCAGTGGCCATGATGATTTCCAATCTCCGCTAGGAGTGGCACGAGAAAAAGAAGAAGAATCGACTTCAAAGAGGCTCGACAGCAGGCCTTACAGCCTATCCGAAGGATATATACATAGATATAGGGTACAGACAAAAGATCTATTAGGTTGTAGTGAGGAAAGGTCTGCAAGAAACTTTTTGATATATATGAACTAGAATGGGCGTTTGTTGAAGACTAACAGGGAAGAAGAACTTGGTTAATCAGAAGAATAGAGTTGTTTTACACCTCACGTACCTTGGATAGGTTATATCTTCACTGCTAAACAATTAACATATTGCTATGGAAAAGACTAACATATCACTTTTATAGATGTACAATGAAGGCTTAAAAAAGAGAAGATTCCTAAATTCGCAAAATATGCTCTAGTGCTTTAAAAATATTTGATAAAGATACTAAAAGCCCATATCACAGTTATGAAAACATATCAGCACAATTTACAGTTACACAACAATCTTCAGCAAACGGCTAAATTAAAAAAAAAAACAGAAACAGAAATTTAAAACTCTAGGCGGCATCGAAATTGGCTAAAGGCTGTATTCGAAAGGGTGTATAAGGGGTTTATTCCAGTAATTGAAATATATGTTTAGAGAAAAGTTCAGAATGCTAGATCAAAATCGAATTGCACAGAAAATGTAGACTTGAATGACCAAATATCCAAGAAAAAATGAAGACAAGGCTCGAATTTAGAAATCAGAGAAGCCAGGAGGACATTTGTATGAACAGGATAACTGGATAGAGTCATAGTGAAAAAAGCGTCGCGATAAACTGCCTGTAAAAATGTAGACAAATCCTATTTAATGATAGTAAATTCCGTTGTACCCCTCATGTTTTTATATAACTTCTTAATCTGCACTCTATTAAAAATCACTTAAACATACCAATTCCTTGTATCACACCCATCGTTTCTGGGCACTCAACACAATCAATAATACTAGTATTATGAATTTAAAATTGTCACATCCGAAACACATTTGGTATGTATAACACATGGCACGCACTTTCGTTCAACCCCTCCAGTCAAAAATTGATACGTGACCCATTGATATATATTAAGAATTATCAACTGTCTACTGCAAAGAGTGAAATTTTTTATCTTGTTACCTCATAGGTACCGACTGTTACTCAGGTGTATAC